TTATAGGAAAGGAGACTTGATCTCCCTTCGCCCATCAATGTGGGAGAATTGCATTTTTCCACCAATTTATTTTAATAAAAAACAAATTGAAATGCAAAGCAATCAACAAGCTCCAAGTGTCACGTGGAGGGAAAAGGTTGGTGGGGACCACCAAAGGGGAGGACCAAAACACCTTGCTCCCCAAGCCAAACACCAAGAAATGGTCCCCTCCCTTGACCGGGTTTGACAACGCCACTTGGCTTTCTTGCAGCCTGCCTTTGTTGCCAAGCCTGCCAGCTGGCGCCTAGCACCAAGGTTGGGCAGCCCAGCCAGCCAGCACGCAGCACATGCGCAGCCAGCCACCACACAGCCAGCCAGCGCATGCGATGCTGCTGCTTGGTGCGTGCTGCTGCTTGGTGCTGCTACGCTAGCAAGAACGCATGTAGAGCCCAGCACGCATAGCATGCTGTTGCGATGCTGCGATGTTGCTGCTTGGTGATGCTCGCTAGCAAGCACGCATGCACAGCCCATAGCACAAGCACGCATAGCGTGCTGCTGTGCGAGTGCTATGGATTGCATGCTTGCGGTAACAAGGCCCAGCAAGCACTTGCGTGCTGCTGGCCTCGCGATGCTTCCGGCAGTGCTGCTATGTGCGAGGCACTAGCATGCTAGCACGTCTAGCGCGCCAGCGATGCTGGCCATGCCACACCAGCTGGCTAGCCAGCGCTGCTAGCATGCGATGCTAGCAAGCTCGGCATGGTGCGTGGTCTAGGCTAGCCTAGCACTCGCATGGCTAGGCTAATGCAAGGCTACAGCTTAGCTCGAACTTGTTGCCTGTTGATTTTTCTCGTCTCGTCGATTTCTAATTTCAACTCGACTTATGACGCTCGGTTTCGACGTTCCATGCTCGACATCTGACGTCTTTGTTCGTATTACTCTAACGACTCATCTAATCCTTCGGATTGATTCGTCGCCTTGGATCGGTTACTCTATTGGATGGAGGCCGCTTCAGTTTTGCGCTTGTTGTGCTTCCGAATTTTATTCCGAATTTTTGTGTGACATAAAAATTAATTCTAAATTGATTTTAGAACAAATATTGAGCAATATTGAAAATAAAACTAGTTCAACTCAATTAAATTCAATTTTAGTGCACAAACCAAAATTAATTCAAGAACCATTCTTTAAATTATTTTTGGCTCAACTTGATGCTACAAATATGAGGGTTATTCTCACAATTAATTTAACCAATATAAATTAATAATGAGATTTGACAAAATAGTTGAATAAATAACCAATAATCCAATGAAATAATTTATCCAACACTTACTTATGAACATTTGATATTGTAATCTTCCAATATGAAGAACAATAATATTTCATGCACAAGTATGAACATTTAAGATTTTAATCAACTTCCAAAATGATTAAATCCAAAATTAGATCATTTTGGATTTTAGCAAGATAAGATCCAACCAAATACACAATTAAAGATTAAATTTTTAACATTTTAGAGGCTTCAAAATAATGTTCACCATAAGCTTTCACACTCCAAGCAATTAATTTGCAAAAATGTGAAATTTCAATTTTATGTGAAATTAAGAGCTTGCCAAATTAAGCACCAATATGACTTCATAAAAATGCTTAATAAGGGTTAAAATTGTAGAAGATTAATGGTATAATCAAACACATAATCCAACAAATGCATGCCATAATTAATCAAGGTGTAAAATTTAAAAAATTTCGTTCCAAACGAAAAACCCCTCAAAAAACCACTTTCTGGGTGGATTTTGGCTTCTGGAAGGTCATTTTTAATTACTATGTGGATAAAGAATGATTCAAACGTTGATTCCACCCAAAATTCACTATTTTTGAGTTGAAATCGGGGTTCGAAGGCCAAAATTAGCATAAATACAATTTTAATCTAATTAAAAACGAGCTCGTAATCTAATTAGGATGCTAAACCAGAAATTTAAATCCATTTAAATCACTATAATTAGTTTTTAGTTGTAAAAATTAAATGCAAGAGGCTCTTATACCGCTGTTGGGTTTCGGAGTGTTCGACACCACGTGGAAACCTGAAAACCGAATCACATCCATAATAATTACAATATAAACAAAAGCATACAAATAAACAAAACACGAACACATAAAGAGAAGATATAGAAAGAAACTCACCCTAGAGGCGTGCTTCGCTCACTCAATGTGCTTGAACTTGAAAGCTTCAAGCTCCGCAAGTGCGAAACCTCCGACGGCTCACACCCTCGCTCACCTAACTGGAATAGGCCCCTACCCCGTTGCTTAGACGGGGCTAGACCAAAATTAACTTAGAGTTTACAAACTAAGGTTTTCTCGCTTTTGGAGATCTCTTAGAGTTCACCAACTCAAGTGAAATTCCCAATACCCAATGATTGGTATTTATAGGGAATTGTTCCCATGATTTCCCATCATCTTTCAATGTGGGATAGATGGTAAAATGCCAAAAGCATGATTTAATTTAATTCTAAATTAAATTAAATGTCAAACCAAATAATCAATCAACACTTGTCAATATGTTAGGGAGGTTAGGTGAAGACCACAAGGGAGGACCACAAGGCCTCCCTTGTTCCCCAAGCATAAACCTCCATCAATAATAATCCCCTTATGACCTTTGACGGCAAGGTTCTGGTAGCTGGCCTTTGGGCAGTAAGGCTTTGCATGCTGCCAGCCATGCGCCTAAGGCCCAGCAAGCAAGCCCTGCTTGCTGACCTCACTACAGCGCCATCTTTGGAGCCCATCGCTCGGCGCCTACCAGCATATGCGAGGCCCAGCCAGCAATGCTAGCTAGGCATGGCATGCGAGCAGCCCGCAAGCGCAGGTCAGCAGCATGTTGCGCCTTGCTTGTGCTGCTACCGTGCAGTGCTGCTAGCTAATGCTTGCGGCATGGCTTGGCAGCCCATGCAAACCATGTGCTCGGCCTTGCCATATGATTATGTTGTGGCAAGGCCTCGTATCTAATACGATATGTGTTGATTTAACTTATTTTATTTGTCTGTCTCGTTGATTCCTAGAATTGACTTGACATTTGACGTTCGTCTTCGACGCTCTTAGCTTGGAATCCGACGTCCTAGTTCGTAAAATCTTTATCGACTCATTTAATCCTTCGGATTAATTCGTCGCCTTGGTTCGGTTACACGATTGGGTGCACTACAAGAAAACACCTTATTTACGACGGAAAAAATCGATCGGTATACCTTCTAATTCCGTCGGAAACAGCCCTTTCCGACGGAATTCTGTCGGAACACGTTGTCGGAGATCACTTAGTCGGAATTTTAGCTTATACCGAGGGATTTTCCATCGGAAAAGGCCCTACCGACGGAATTTCCGACGGATTTTAAATTGTCGGAGTCTACGTTTGACCTAAAATGGAAGTCCGTTGCAAGGTTCCAACGGACGTAATTCCGTAGGAAGAAACATGGCTTCCGACGGAATATTTCGTAGGAAGATTAGAATCTTCCGACGGAATATTCCGTAGGAAGGAGCTTCTCTTACGACGGAATTTCCGTCGAAAATCTGGGTAAAAAAAATAAAAAAAAATTCAGACCACCCACCCAGATCCACCACCACCCCCCTCCCCTGCTTAACACCCCAATCCGCCCCACAGCCACCCCACAACACCACGACCCACACCAAACCCCACTGAAACTACCCCAACAACAGTCCACCAAACACCACTACAATCCCACCCACACCAAACACCACCACAATACACCAGCCCCCACCACCACCGACACCACCATACCACCCCACCACACCACCATGCAAACAACATACACAATTAACCCCAAAAAATCGCAAAAAAAATTAAACATCGAAAAAGAAAAAAAAAACGAAAATTAAATATCGAAAAAGAAAAAAAAAACGAAAATTAAACATCGAAAAACAAAAAAACAGAAAATCAGACGAAAAATAAACATCGAAAATTAGATCTATAAAAATTAAACATCGAAAATCACAAAAAACGTAAATTAAACAAAATAATAATTCGACCACTTACCTTGAATTCCTTCAAAACCCCTAAATTAGCTTGAATTTGGGTTTTAAAGGTTAAATTCGACCATGAAAACTCTAGATCTAGGGTTTTCATGGTCGAATTTAACATGAAAAACCGGGTGGTGGTGTGTTGTTGCGATGGAGGACAGAGAAACGAAGGCGGCTTCGTTGCGCAGTGGTGGTTGCGATGGAGGACAGAGAAATGAAGGGGAAGGAGGGAGGAGGAGAGAGAAACAAAGGGGAAGGAGGGAGGAGGAGACAGAGAAAGGGGAAAAGGAGAGGAGAAAGGGAAAAAGAAAAGGAGGAGGTCAGGAGGGAGAAAAGGAGAAGAAAGAGAATAGGGGGGTTAATGGACTTCCGGTTTTTTTGTTTCTTTTTTTTTTAATTAAAAATCCGTCGGAAAGGGGTAAAATCCGTCGAAAATAAATACGTTCCGAGGGATTTATTTTCCCTCGGAATTTACAGCTACCTACGGAACTTTCCGTCGGTAGATATTTACCGAGGGATTATTCCGTCGGAATATTTCCGAGGGAATTTCCCACGGAACTTATCTTTTCCAACGGATATTTCTGACAGAGTAAAATTCCGTCGGAAAATTCGAATTTTCCGACGGAATTTAGGTCCGTCGGAAAAAGTCCTATTTCTAGTAATGGTGTGAACCGAAGGGTTTAGTCAAGATTAAGCTGTAATATTAATTATACATTAATATTACTGATCTGAAGCGGCCTTCAGCTATGCATTCCGATCACTTGACCTCACTGAATAATTAGCTTTCCTAATTAATTCTGAATCCTCTATCGGAATAATACACTTGTTCGAAGGACACCATTCCTTTCATAAACATGTTTCATACACGACATATATTAAGACCACTTACCATACGTGTCATTACTTAACATCATTACATAATTTGTATTCGACTTAAATTGAAATTCACAATTCAGCCTCATCGTCACCGGTCTTGGTTATAAAAAACTTGTTCATGAACAACTTTAGCTTATTAAATACAGATACTTGGCTTTTTCCAAAATTTTTAGGAGTGCCATGTCATTAACTATGTCTTCAACTTTAGACACTTTCCAATCTTTATCGTTCACATCCTTTAAATCCAGCTCGGGTGAGATTACACCCTTCTTAGATTCCTTAATACCTTCACCAATTTTACTCCAACGAATTTCCAATCGGGTTGCTTTTGGATCGGGGTTATAGTAAGTTGCAAAATTTTCCACAATCATATTTTCAATATACTTGAATCGTGTTGCCTCTGAAATCATTTGGATTATAACAAGAAGAAACCGAGCTTCGGTCTTAACATCAAGCGCCTTTCCGTAGACTTTGTTGATGAACTTGTTAAGTGGTTCAGCTCCCAGTTAATTCTTAGACGATTACTAGTACCTTTTGCCTCAGGAAAGAGATCTTTTGTTTTGTGTTCAAAATCCTTAAAAATATGATACCTAAACTTTTTATCAATTGTGTCAAGATAGCTAACCACATATATATCATTATATAAATCCAAAGCAACTGTGATCGTTCCTCCCTCTGATCCCTTTATGTCAACCAAAAAATACTTTTGTTTGTTTTTGAAAGTTGCTGCCATTACTGGTACATTGGTGCGCCGTATTAGTCGCTCAATAGCTTCGAGTACGTAGTCGTCGTAGGGCTTGATGCATCGAAACTTAGATCTGATGCTGCAAATGTTGGTTCAAGGATGATCACCCATATTGATATGGCTGCTACAACAAAAGCCCTCGTTATTGTTTGTATTCCCTTCATTTTACCTGTTAAAAGACTTCAAGTATACAACAACACGATTTAGTAAGATTGGATTAAACATCTGCCTTGAACAAAAGGTAGGATAGGCCAAAAATGTGTGTTAACAAAAGGTAGTTTAGGCCAAGAATGTGTACTAATTCTAGTATCATTATTACTTTTTTTTTTTTTTTTTTTGGTGTGTGTGTGTGTTTAGACAGTCATATATAAGGGTAGGTGATGAAAAACTTCCCTAAATTTTGATCCCTTACTTTTATCAATAATTCGTAACTTATGGCCTTGGAAGCTTGATAAAATTATTTGGAGCAATTGTTTTTTTTTTTTTGCAATGGTAATTTGAGAATCAAAATATAAAGGCACCAACGAGAATGTTCCATAATTAAATACTCGTATAAAGGTAGTTTAAAAAATCAATTTAAAGTTACCATGAAATGTTGTAGTTTAAGCCCTTTAAGGTCATGATCTTCTAATGTGTATGAATACGCAATTTTCCAATAGACACACAATAACAAAATCGTACTTGTATAATTTATTATAAAATAGACATAATGATATATTCTTTCTGTATCAAAATAATTGATATGTTGGACTTTTTTTCATTATTCATATGTTCACTTTGACTATACTCCGTAGTTTTTTACAAATTAAATAAAAACATACTTTGTCATGAAATATATTGTTAAATAGATATTAACATAAAGTTTCATAATATATTTTTGTATAATATTTTACAAATGTTTAACTATATATTAATAAGGTTAAACTAGTGTATCAAAATGTGTGTAAAGTTTAACTGTGTCAATTAATCTCATACAGAAGAAGTATTAACATGGATCCTTATAACAAAGTATATATTGCGGGTAATATATATGGTAAAAATAGCAATTATTTAAAAAGTGAATATAATTATATGAGACAGTGACAAAGAATTAAACATAATAATTACCACATGTCCACATATCATCACCATTAGAGCTGTCAAAAGCTGATCCGATCGAAAAATCGACCCGAACCCAATTATTAACCAACCCGTTTTAACCCAAAAAAATGGTGACGCGAACCCGATATGACCCGACCTAAAACCAACCCTAGACTCGAGTTAACCCGAGTATTTAAGACCCGAACCCGAACATGAACTGACTTGGAGATGACCCGACTTGAATATAACTCGTAAATTATTGACCTGAACCAAACCCGACCTGAATCGAGATTGACCCAAACCAGTTTTAACCAGTCAAAACCCGAATTTAACCCGACCTGTTATGAACCCGACCCGAATTTGACCTGACCTATTACTAAATCGACCAAAACTTAACTCGACCCGAATTTTACCCGACCTATTACTAACCCGACTCGAAATTCAACCTGATCTGTTACTAACTCGATCCGAAATCAACACGACATGTTATTGACCTGACCCTAATTCCACCCGAATTGTTCCAGACCCAATTCGAACTCAACCTAACCTGTTATTGACCTATTCAGATTTCAAATAACCTTAAAATCAATTTAGACCACCTTATTAATATTGATCAAAGTATAGTTATATAGTTACGTTGTCATCTCGAATATGAACTTATCTGAAATTGTTATCCCTAAAATGAGTGAAAACTATGTACATAGATTAGAATAGGGTTTGAACTTTATCTTCTAAAACTCTAAAATAAACCTATCTTACTGGAATTAATATGAACTTATTATGTATATCTTATCTAAACTTATTTGAACTAATTAGCTCGAATTTTAACTTATCTGAAATTATTTCTCTTACAATAGATGAAGAAATTGATAATGATTAAACGTAAACATCATTACATGAATTGTTAACAAACTGACCCAAAAATGTACCCGAACCCAATATGACCTGACCTGAAATCAACCTGAAACCCAAATTAACCAAATATTTGAGACCGAACCGGAAAACATGACCCGACTTGAAAATGACCTCTGATTGCAACCCGCAAATTATTGACTTGAACCGAACCCGAGAATGACCCGACCTGATTATAACCCGCAAATTATTGACTTAAACCGAACCCGACTGGAACCCGAGAATGACCCTAACTCGTTTTAACCCGTGAAAACCTGAATTAAACATGACCTATTATTCACCCAACCCGAATGTAACCCGAACTGTTATTGACCCGACCTAAACCCGACCCAAACCCGATAAGATGTATGACCCGACATGACCCGACTCAAGCATGACCTAACCCAAACCCGGCCCGCATAGGTTACGACATTAACCCGAATTAATCCGACCCGAGTTGACTCGACCCTCACTTACCCAACTCGTTTACCCGAATTGATAGCTATAATCACCACAAGAAAATAGCCAATTTACGACACAAAAAATACCAAGAACCGTCGCAATAAATAGTTACAACGGTCAATTCTGTCGTAGTCATTAGTCAACTTGCATATACGAGTAGCTCAAAGTATAAATCCAATAATAATTTTTTTTTTTTTTGAGGAAACAATAATAATAATAATAATTAGAACTTAGAAGCTTATAAACATCAAAAAAAAAAAAAAAAAAAAAAATAAAGTAACTTGGCTTAAGCTTAATATATCATGCATCAACAAGAGGATGACATACCAATAAAAAATTAAAAACTGCCAAATGAAAGTTGCTTGAGTTTATACGTTGATGATCAGAGAACGTTGTATTGTAAAAACAATGAGTTGCAACCTTCAACTTATCATCTTCTTTAAATAGAAATAGACATTTTAGATTCAAAAATTATTAATTAAAAACGAAGTACGCCCATAGTAAATAAGTATATTTTTATAATGTTTTTGTCTCTAACACTTGTATATTTTTAATTTTACTAATTATTGGTGTGCGTGCGCGCCCCCTTAATGCTATGCTATGAATGATGTTGAAGGTGTTTGTATGTTGTTAATTTGAGAATTGTTAGAATCCTCTAGATGGTTGTTTTCAATCCTAAATCCCTTAGTATTTATTATTAGCTTCTGGAATCCTCTAGAAAGTTCTAATTTATCCTGTTGTTGAAAAGATAAAGATTTAAGAATTTTATATCGGATAAAACACTTGTTTTTCAATTATTTTAATTTTGATAAAACTAGAATACGTACGGAAATTCGATTAACCCAATTTGGTTGGAAGTCGGATTTCGTACGGCTTCTATCTTCTAAAAGCATCGTTGAGCGATAGAAATATCGCGCTGCGATAAGCCTATCGCGCGGCGATAAATCTACCGCGTCCCGATGGAAACCTGTTTTACTCCAAGTCGGATTCTGACTCTTTTCTGATCTTTGACCCTCATTTTTCCCTATAAATAGAGGTCATTTTACCCCGTTTTGATTCACCAACAATCATCATCTAATCCCCTCTTTAAGAGCTTTTCTCTCTCTTTCTTTCTAGCCTTAGCCTAGCCTAAACACATCCCAACACCTTCTTGGTATCATACACCATACTTCCTTCACGAGCTTCGGATACTCCAAGCCAATCTCGTAGTTGTCTTCGACCTCGACGTGATAAGGTTGATAGTTCTGAGGGTTTGGTCCCAAATCTATATTTTAATTTTTATTTGATTTATTTATTTGATTTAATCTTTCTTGAAGTTACTAAAGTGTGTATTGTTTTGATAGAAAGAGATACGAGGCATCAAAGTGAGTAGATCTACGATCCTTATTCCTCGATTTTGATATAGAAATCATGCTTAGAATATTATTTTAATTTCTAGTATCATGTTAGGATGTTTATTTTGATTCCAAGTATCATGATAGGGTGTTAATTAATATTCTTAATATCATGTTTCTAGTATCATGTTTAGGCTAAAGCTTTGATTGTGATTTTTATTAGTATCATGCCTAGGATCTTGCAATCATGTTTCAATCATGCTTTGATTATGATGATGATTTGTTGTGTCAATTAATTATACATTCCTTGCTTATTCATGATTTGTTGTTATTGCTTGATCACGCCCTCTTTTGCAGGCTTAAAGGGAATTTGTACTTGAAATCACGCCTAATAAGATAATTAATAATTTGAATTTAGGCTTAACATGATTTTAATTCAAGTGATCACCAATAATAGATTTATTTGTTTCATTAATAATCAACCAACGTAGATTAAGCAGGTTTAGGGCTAACTTGTTGCATGTATGTTGATCGGAAAGCGCACATGAATATCATAAAAATTAAGTAGAGGCCGATTTAGGGCAGGTTAAATCTCTTTTAAGTTGGATTTGTACCATCATCCTCGAATATCCAGTCATAGTTCTGAACCACTATGGAGTTAGCGATCTTCGTGATCGTGAATGGGGTGTAACCTTCACACCCATGAACGGTTTACAAGTTCCTAAAACTTGTTGGCGGCTCTTTTATCTCTAGCTTCTTTCCCTTTGGATGCCACCATGCTTACATGCATGATCACAGTGGTGCTCAAAGTTGATGTTTGAAATATTCCCCACAATTTTTTTGGTGACTCTACTGGGGAGGATTTCTAATTTTGATTTCTAAAATTTATTTTGGCAATTAACATTAGAATGAGTGGGTGAGACTTGAAAGATTCTAAATATTCATGTGCGTAATTTTGATTAACATTGTGGCATAAACAAAAAAGGTATGCATTAGTAAGACCATCCGTAATGCGTCTAAAACATAGGATTTTTTCACGTAGGAAAAGTCGGAAATATCTTTCACGAGTAGAAACGAAAAGATATTGCGAAAATCGGAAAATCCGAAGAACATAGAGAACTGCCGCAAAGCGTAGGAACTGTCGCGAGACGACAGTGTCCATCGCCATGCAACAGCTCTATCGCGACGCGATAGGGTTGTCGCTGCGCGATAGACCCTGTTTCCTCGCACCGAGTTCTTTCGACATCGTGCCAGGAATCTGCCTTCTTGTTTTGACCGATTCTAGTACTGTCTCGCCAATTCTACTTCCTAATTGAGTTTTTCTTTTTGACCTATATGTGTTCTACATATGGCTTTAGCCCTTGGGAATTCACGCTCCATCTACCTAATCGAACGCT